CATGTATTGTGTTATATTATATTTCTGGAAAATTTAAGGAGTAGTTATATAATAATTTTGGACGATCTCGAGCGGTCGGATACTTATAACCGCTACTGTAAGTGTTTTAGTACTCTAACTATTATAAAAATATTGATGCGATTGTAAGCTTTTAATATATCTTGTAAAAGGATCTATAATTCTTTTTTGTTAGAAAGAGTATCTATATTATCTAGGATGTATAATGGTTCAAAGGTAGAGTGGAAAGAAAATTCTGCAAAATTATGTCCTTTAAGAATGTTATGTTAGATGAAGACAGTTGAGAGTCATATATTGATAAGTTTTATAAGAGCTTTTCTTAGACATTCCAATAAGGTGATTGATCTCGTATTATTTAGGTCAAATTCTCAGAGTTTAGGTTTCAAAATCAGATAAATATATGTTAAATTCCATTAATGCAGAAGTGTTGAGATTGATAAACAACCACATATTATATATTAAAAGATCTTTTTAGCTAAGGGCCTAGGTGTTTGAGCATTTTATTCGAGATCTTAGATGGGTCAGGTGCTCTACTATCAACAAGGAAATTAATGATAGAATACCATTCTTTAGCGTAGGAAGGTGACATCAAATTATTGTATATACTATAATCAATATTTTCAAGTAGACTGTATAAAGAGAGTCATTCATTAGGAATGCTTTTTAGTTCATGTGTAGTGCCTGCCGCTCTTTGAAAATGGTTATTAACTGTTTGTTTAACTAAGTATTTATTTGTGAGGATTTCTTGAGAATTTCTTGACAAACATCTGTCTAATACAATAGTTTTCCTTGTATAATTTAATGCTGAATTAAGCATATTTTTGGAATTGTTAGCATATGCATCTAAGCGTTAATCCAAATGTTTTTGTATAGAAACAAGTTTGTGTTCATTCTTATGAAGTTTGGCTTTGCATAAGAGGACTTTGAGTAAAAGAACTGTGTCAGAGAGGAGGAGGTTGATAAAGTTAAGGGGTACTCTAAATAGGAGTGCATAGTGATAAATGCAAGTGAATTAGCAATATTACAAAAGTCATCATATATTTGTATCCAGTTTACAGAAAATGATCTGCCTTGTTTGACTTTAAGAAGTAACTTTTTAAATTTGTGTAAAATTTTCTGATATATATATAATTTTTTGAGGCCCAGTGGCTTTAGATACTTGAATTATCCTGATGATTTTCTAAGTAGTATGCATTTTTTAGCTGCTTTAATTAAGAGATCTTGAAAGATGTCCCAGTATTTGTTGAGAAGGGAATACATCTAATATGTCTCCTGATTGATTGTTCTAGTTGGATTTCCATTTAATAGCGCATTGAATTTGTTTTCAAATTTGCTCTATAGGTCATTATTCATTTTATCAAAATCAAAACTAATTTTAGTAGATAATTTACATTTGTTAAATTTGATGTCTAAGAAGTTTGTAATTGTAACGACAGCTACATAATGGTTTAATACATCTGTTTTAGGTAAAATCATATGGCAGTCTAAAATGTTGAGGGAGATATCAGTTGAAGTCTAAATGTAATCTATCTTAGAAAAGACTTGGCTTGAAAAATATGTGGAAAAATTGATTCTATTTTGATTGTATTTGATTGTGAAAGCATCAAAAATTGATAGTCTATAAAAATCATCGAAAAATTTTAGGCTATTTGTGAGATTATATATTCTATCTATATCAGTGTTAAAATCTTTCAAGACGATCAGGTGAAAATTGTTGATAGTTGCTTCTTTAATCTATTTGTTAAGAACTTGTTAGATTTCTTGTTTTATTTTAAGATCTTCTGGCGGTAAATAGCAATTTATAATACGAAGTTTTTGTTTATTTGCGAATTGTAAGTTGACATGGATAACTCAATTGAGTTTTGTATCATATTTATATACATAATGAACAATCTTTTTGTTAAGTATTATTCTCATACTGAATACGATACATTATTTTGGGGTTGAACTAAAAAATGAAATAAAGGAAAGATGTAATGGATTAAAAATTTTATCGTGTTAGGATTTAAAGTTAGTCTTTTGAAGACTAATGATATCTAAATTGTACGAAGAGTATAATGATAAAAGGTGGTGTTATTTGGTGATGTTAGTGAAGGATTAAACGTTATGTGTTGCAAAAGAAAGTTTTGGTATGTTAATAGAGATTATATTGGAGTTATTATTTGGTAAAGGGAATGTATTGATTATTTCTGTAGAGATAGAAATCATAAAATATATATTTAAAATTGAGAAAAATCTTTCAGAGCCTTTTCTGCTTTCATATTATAATTAGTGTTAAGGGTGTATGATGTTGATATTTTGTCAATTTGAAGTAGATCATTATGAATGAGAATTGCATAGAATGTATTGCAAGTGTTAACTAAGATGTTGACTGTTTCAGTGAAGTTTTTAAAGTATAAATTTTGTGCATTTATGATCTCTGTGAGAGTTGCAATAGTTTGTCATTGTTTACTAATAATTGATATGAAAGCATCGACAAATAGGTTATTTTCATATTATTTTACGTCATAATCAGCCATTATTTCTTTATCAGAAAAGCTGACCTTAATATTGAGTATTTGTTCGATTATCTCCATTCATTTCATAGTAGAGCTCAAAGTAAGCATGAGATCATCTAGTTTCTGGGTGAGTTGCAAAAAACTAGCTTTGATGAAGTCTATAAAATTATTATCAGTGTTTTGCTTGAGCATAAAGCCTCTTGCTTTCGTTTCTGTAGAGATATCATATGATCTGTATTGTTGCTGATGGGGATAATTGTATTATTGATTCATATTCAGAGGAATATTATTACTTCAGTCAGTAATGGGATAGGTGGTTATTTTAGAAGACTATTGTTAGTGTTTTTTAGCACAGAACATAGATTCGTGAGTTTACTAGAAAATTTGGTTAATTTCTGAGAACCATCTGTGATAATATTAGCAAATATGATATTAGGATTAATAGCTCCTTACGAGAATGAACTGGAGCTTTATAGTTGTTGTATTGTGTTAGTTGAAATCATTGATATAAATGTTAGGTGCTTTATCTTGAGGAGTGCGATATTTTTTTTAGACAATCTTTGATTTTGTGATGCGATAAAGAGCAGATAGTATATAGTTTAACTTTGGTCTTAATTTATTCTATGTGTTTGCCATTGATAGTGAGATTGTCATTACTGATTACTGCTTTGTAGTCATCAGCTGAAGAAAAATAGAAAAATGTATGTTGTAGATTATGATAATTCGATCTGATCTTAGGAATAATCCAAGCTGTAGCATTAACTATTAATCCTAAATTGGATAAGTCTTTACCCGTTGAAACCGGCAGAAACTGACAGGACAGTTGCATAAAACAAATCTGCCAAATCTGCCATATCTGTCAAATAGGATATATTTAATATTTATTATATTTTTATTATTTTTATTACTATTATCATTTATAACATATTTAATATAATTAGCATATCTGTTAGCTCTGTTATTATTGTCAGTAGTATCATAAATATCATAGATTTTCTTTAATTGTATTTTCCTATATAAAGAGCATGAAAATGCCTTGGAAAAAGGACAGATTCCAAGGAGATTCCAACAAGTTTTTAATATTGTATTTAATATACATTTAATAATAATAATAAACACATTTAACATTTTGCAAACATAAAACTTATAATTTATTTCTTGTTAACTAAATAAACTCTAATAAACAGCGTGTCAAATTGATTAGATTTAAGTCATAGCTATTGCCTTCCTGACTTCAAATCATAGTTAACTTATTCGACGGAAAGAATAACGTTAACACTATAGTGTAATGAGAAAAACATGTTAGTTTAGCTGAGAATTTAGATTGTTCTAAGATTTTATCATATGAAAGGTCACACATATAGAAACAAACTATATCATTAAGGAGAAAGATCTATAACCTTTCTTAAGTTTAATGAAATTAGCATCTGAATCATATATGATTATAGCTTATTATCAAAGATTTTTGTTTCTATGTTAAATCTGATAATTTTGTTAAATCGGGAAAGATCTTTTTAATACACAATTCTGTGGTGTTCAATGGGATTTTTGTAACTTTGATTGATTGTTGTGAAATAAATGGATGTTTGGCATGATTTTGAGGGATAAAAATGTGCGATTTTTCAAATTAGGCAGATTAATTTTGCAAAACATATCTCTTTCATTCTTATCAGAGAATATTATTTTTAAGATTTTTTTTGATTGGTCCTCAGGGTGTTTGACAAATATGATACCTGAAAATAAGTCAAACTGATCGAAAATGAGATCAGTGACGTCAGAGATTTTTGTTTGAGAGGATTTTTCAAGGTAATTGTTTACCAGAAAAAATGCGAAAAAATTCGTATTTTTAGTAAATATTTCTTAAGGGTTTTTCTTATTATTCAAAAAATTTTCAGAGGCATCGTTAACATTATTAATGTTTATGAATATTTGGTTAAGAATAACAACTGGAGTTGTTTCACTTGTTAAAACTTCTTTGCCCTTTTCTTTATCAAGTGGAGGAGAGTCAACATCTATAATAACTGGAGTTTCTTTGTTATTGTTGTTGGTGGAGACACTACTTTCAGGTTCAGTAGTTTGTAAAGTATTCTGTCTTTACTTAGTTGTTGCTCTAGAGTGTTAGAATAAGAGTGAGGTTATTGTTTTTGTTAGTTTTTATTGTTCTCTTTTTTTGGTCTGTTCATGTTGCAAAAAGAGTTTTTTTTACATTGATAATTTATCGTTTAAAAAATAAAAAAAACAAGCTATTTTTAGATAATCAGATATAACGTAAATAAATAACATAATTAGAACATTTATAAGAATGCATAAACAATCAAAAAGCATAAGTAAAAATTGCAACAGATAGGAGAATAAAGTATTTTTTTGCACATATTTTATGAAATTTAAAGTGAATTTTATTCTTAATAAAAATTTTTAAATTTATCATTAATTATTATAATTAAAATGCACATTTGAAAAAGAATAAAATTCTACATAAAAAACTATAATTGTAATATTTAATTATTATATAAATTACTATTTTATGTAAAAAACTAAATAAAAAAATAAAAAAACTATTATAATTACTTAAAAATCTAGATTTAAAGAGTTAAAAAAATAAATTTTAAAAAAATAAATATTAAAAAGTGAAAATTTTTTAAAAAAATAAAAAAAAAACAAAATAGAAAAATAAAAAAAATGAATTAAGTTTATAAATATTTATTGGAAAAATTAAAGATTACCTATAAAAAAATAAAAATTATATTTAAATATAAGATTAAAATATAAGACTAATATTTTTTTAATTAATTTTAAGATATCAAATTTGAACAAATTAAACTTGAGATAAATATGAATTAAGTAATTATTTATTAATTAAAAATAATATTATTACTAATATTTTTTATTTTTAAAATATTAGATTTGAATAAATTAAACTTGATGTTTATAAATGAGTTTTAGTTATAAATAACTATTTTACTAATATTATTTTATTTAGAATATTAGGTTTAATTAAATATTTTTTTTTATTTAAAAAATAATTTAAATATTTTATTAAATAAATATCTTCTTTGATTTTTTTAATTTAAATAAAGAATATTTTCTTTTAAAATAAAATTAAATAAAGTACTTAAATTATTAATAATTAAAGATGATCTCTATAATTATTTTCAAATTTTAATTGAGTTGCGGTTATAAGAAAATTTAATTATACTACAAGTTACAATTCAATTGCGTCATCTTATTTAATTGCAGTAATTATCTTTATTAATAATAATAAAAAAGTCTTAGTTATTAAAAAAAATACTTCTAAAATAAGATTGCTAATTTTTTTTAAACTATTATTATATTTCAATCATTTATTATTTTTCTAATTATATAAAATAAAATTAAAGTAAAATAACTAATATTTAAAATTTGATAATTTTTAATTAAAATTATATATTTTTAGAATAATTATATACAATCAAAGCTTGTTATAGTGAACACTCAGTTTCATTCAATTTGTTCATTATAATAAAGTGTTCAAAATAGCAAAAAATCTCTTTATAGTAAATTTTATATAATAAAAAAAAAAATTTCTTATAACGTGATTTTTTTAAAATTTTTTTATTTCAAAAATTTAACATTGCACAAAATTATCTAATGTAGATTGCTTCACGTTGTCTTGAATACATCTATTAATTTTTGATTTTAAAGCACTAAGAACTTTTAACTCCATATAATTAATTGATATATTATCAGGGGGATTTTTAAAATATTAAATTACCTTTTCCAAACTATTTAAAGCTTCTTTGTTAGTAATAATATTAATTTCCACTGGTTTTTCCTCTTCTTCTATATCATTTTTTTCAGAATTTGAAATTACCGCATCTATTATTTCTTCATCTGATAATGGTCCTATTGGTATTTCATCATTAATATGAATAAATTTTTCAGCTATAATAGGATCTCGTAAATTTAGTGCATTAATCATATTTTGCAATTCTGAAGTAATTTTATCAATTTTTTGATTTCAGTCTAAATTGTTTTCTTTAGAGTTGCTATCTTCAGAGTTATATTCTTCATAATCAGGTAAAATACCTGTTTTTTTTCAACATCATTCGATTATACTTAGTTTTACAATTTTTCATACTTCATTAATAAATATTATAGTATCAAGAATATCAACTAGTATTATATCAGAGTCATTTTTTTGGGTTAAATCATATGCTTCTACTCTATTCGCAACTAATAACTTTCTGTATTAGGCTTAAAATAATAAATATATAATAAGTAAAATTATTTAAAAATAATAATTTAATAACAATTTATACTTAATTTAAAACTATTAATAATACTAGTATCTAAGGATTATAGATGAGCAGTTGTATTTAGAGAAAGGAAATGCACTCTAATGTTTAATAATAAAATAGTTTCATTTATTAAATGAGTTAGCGTATTATCAGCTAATAATAATATCTTACGATTTTGTTATCTCATTAATTGGTTAAGTTTATTTAAGTAATCATGCTATACTGATAGTTGCATTCAAGTTGTACAGTTCCAATAATATCAGACAGGCAGATCATCCTTTTTGATTCTTTTTAAAATACGTGGAGTTTATCACTTATGTATCACTAAAACAGGCAATCTGTGACTTCTATCAGTATTATAAGTTAAAATAACTGTGATACGATTTTTTGATTTTTTAGTATCAGAAATGTAATGATCTAAAAATGTCTTAGATAGTTCTAAATTCCAGAATAAAGCTAATATATATATAAATAAAATTGTATTTATCTTAATGTATTTACCTATTTTATCAATATTATGAACATCACAAAGATCATATTATTTTATAACTTTTTGCAAATCTTACGTTCTTCTTCCAATATTTCTAATAGCATACTATTTGCTTCTTCGGCTTTATTGATTTATCTTATATTATACCATTTTTTAAATTTTGCTAGCCATCTATCTGAAGCAATAAAGGATGTTATTTGTAATCTAGCTACAAAATTTAAAGCTTTAGCTTTTAAAACATCCTCTATAATAGTTAAGTTCAAAGCTAATGCTTGCTGCATCTACAAATATAACGCAGATTTAATTTCTAAAAATTTAGCACTTTATCCTGTTTTTGATTTTAACTTTCTTATTTGAAATATCAATAGATAACCATTTTTACTTTTCTTTTAATATATTATAAACTTGTGACTTTGATATATCAAATTTTTTAGCAAGATCTTCTTGGTTGTATGACAGATTATCTTTTTGCTACTCACATAACCCTTTTTTCTCTGCATATAATAAGCTTTTTCTTTTTATAGTTCCATTTACTTTTTCTTTGTCTTTTCTTATGGGTGGTATTTTGAGAAAAAAATTGTATTACCATAGATAAAACTATAAAAAAATGTGTTACAATAGAAAAAAAATGTATTACGATATATGATTTACAAATATTATGTATATCATGTGATATTCATTATAACACATATAAATTTATAATATAGGCTCTTTGCAATAGAAAGGGAGTAAACTACCAAAAAAATTTTTTTTGAGTTAACATTAAATCTGAACTTATTTTGTTAAAAAATAATATTTAGCTTATAAAGTAAAAAAAAATTTTTTTGGTAGTTTCCTCTCTTTTTATTGCAAAGAGCCCATATATGTTCTGTATTTAAATTTTTTATATATTCACTATATCTAGTATCAAGATTTTATTATTAAATTTATTATAACAAATAGAATTTTATATAGAATAAATTAGGGAAATAAAAAAAATTTATTATAAGCCAAATTTACTATAATGAGGTTCACTATAACGAGTTTTGATTGTATATAAAATTAGATAATTATTGAATTTTTATATAATAGATTATATATATATTATATTTTCATAATAATAATTTTATTATGATTGAATTTTTAATATTAATAAATTATTTTTAATATTTTAGATATATTAATATATCAGAAAAATAATAAAAAAGTAGAAAGAAAAAATCTAATATTTAGAAATATTTTAATATAAAAAAAAAATTAAAAACTAATCATATAAAATATATAAAGGCTAAGTTATTAAAATCACCCTATGGGATAATGATTTTGAGTAAATGATGATTAAAAAATACTATGTTACAGTAAACATTTTCAACCAATAATAAATTATTTTATTTTAAATTTTGAGTCAATTTAATTAATAATTTATTATTTAAAATTTTTACCAAATTATTATTTTTAAAATTTTTTTGCCATTATAAAATATATAATTTTATAACGCTTAAAAATTTGCTATTAAAATCACTTTATGAAAGTTACACTAATTTATTAAAAAATTTAATTTTTAAAATTAAATTTTATATTTATTATTTATTTTTAAAAAAAAATATTTGCTAGAGTATTAAATATTTCAAATTTTCTATTTAATCATATATTTAAACTATTAATAATGATAAAGTTAAAAATTTTGAATTTTATAAGAGTCTGAAATATTTTTTACTTTTTAAAATAATGTAGATTATTTTTTAATTCTAATTTTAAATTTTTTAACTGATATTATACAAATAAATGAGAGATTTTGACAGCTTAATTGCTCATTTTATTAATAAAATAATCGATCATAAAAATTTAACTAAATAAAGTTTATATATCATATAATAATATAAAATAAAAATCTCAATTTTGATTAGTAGGATCCTATAAGATAATTTAAATAGTTTAACATCTATATTTACAAATTTTGTGATTAGAAATAAAGATTTTTACTATTTGACTTTTATATATTAAAAAATAATAGAAAAATTAGATATATTTTTTTTAAGAAATCAAAAAACTGAAAAATATTAAATATTTTTCTTTTCACTTTCAAATTTTTTTATTATCATCCTTTTCTCTTCTACCTTTTTTTTTTTATTTTCTATAAATCAAAAACTAATATTATAAAATTAAAAAATATTAACTTTAAATATTTAAAATAATTAAAATTAATAATACTAAAGAATAATAATATTATTATATATTTTTTATTTATTATAATATTTCTTTTTATTTTATTATTAATTTAATTTTTATAGATTATCAGATATTTATTTTGATTTTATAATTTATTAAATTAAATTACATTTTCAATTTTAGATTATTTAAAAATTAATACATATT